ACCAGAAAAACAAAATAATGTTCTCAGTCATATAAGTGTCTTAGCATCAAACCTTTTGATTTTTGTGTTTAATTCAGGTTTTCTGCATAATTCAGAAAATTAGAAATGGAATATTGGTAGGGAGGAGAAAGAAATATCTTAAGGGAAGGGGAAGAAGTAGCAGAGAGGCTATATGAAGGACAAAGCGGGAATCCTGGAGAGGGAGGTCTGAGTGGAAAGATTAATGGGAGGATATGCCAGAGAAGAGGCCCAGGGAGGAACCAACACTAGGAATCTAGTGTTTGAAAAGCAATATGGAAAACTATTTTATAAACTTCATATGCATATGTGTGTATTCATTATTATTTATACTCATCCAAGAAGCCATAGATTGTCAAACAAAAAGTCAAATGTTGGTAAAGAATACCTCCCCTCAAAGGGACAAGATCTCCTGAGCTAATTGGGAGCATGGGGGAGGGCAGAGGGAGCTAGAAGAAAGAGGAGGAAAGAAGAGGAGGGGAAAGGAGGACAAGAGAGAGCAGAAAGATTTGGTCAGGTGATGGGGAATGTACTGTGTATGTTTATCTTATTGATTATTGAATAAAATACTGTTTGGCCAATGAGACAGCAAGTTAGACGGAACTAGGAGTCAAAGAGGATTCTGGGAAATGTAGTAGAGAAATGGTGATCCATACAGGAAGTGACATAGCAAGGAGACTCATATTTAAGCGAAAGAGAAACAGGAAGGGCCCTCTTTCTCCCCCTCGGCTCCTGCTCCAGCGGCACAATGTGATCCACCAGCTAGGAGGGACGTCAATAAGGTGTCAGATAAGATAAGTCTTATAAAATATATAGACATATGATAATTGAGACTGAGTCCCCCTCGGCTCCTGCTCCAGCGGCACAATGTGATCCACCAGCTAGGAGGGACGTCAATAAGGTGTCAGATAAGATAAGTCTTATAAAATATATAGACATATGATAATTGAGACTGAGCTAACAGATGAGAATCCTAGTCATTGGCCAAGCAGCATTGTAACTAATACAAGTCTCTCTGTGTATTCATTTGGGCCTAACTCGGGCAGGCAGCTGGCGTAAAGCACACACGTGTCGGTAGGGCTCAGGCAGCTTTTGGCAGAAAGATTTATCGTAACAGTCAGGGAAAGAATAGAGGAGAGCAAGAAAAGAGATACCATAATAGACGGAGCCATTATAGGTTTTAAAAAAAATTCTGGCACTAGGTAAATGTCCAGAGACCTACAAGGTTAACCCCAACTAACAATCTAAGCAATAATCCAGAGGCTACCTTAAATGCCCTTCTCTGATAATGAGATTGATGACCACCTTAAATGTCATCTTAGAGCCTTCATCCAGTAGCTGATGGAAGCAGAAGCAGAGACACACAGCTAAACACTGAGCTGAACCCTGGAATCCAATTGCAGAGAGGGAGGAGTAATGAGCAAGGGGTCAAGACCAGGCTGGAGAAACCCACAGACACAGATGACCTGAACAAGGGATTGCTCAAGGACCCCAGATTGATAGTTGGGAAAACAGCATAGGACTCTTCTAGACCCCCTGAATGAGGATGTCAGTTTGGAGGTCTGGGCAATCTATGAGGCCTCTGGTAGTGGATCAGTATTTACCCGTAGTACACGAATGGACTCTGGGAGCCCACTCTACATAGAGGGATACTCTCTTAGCCTAAATACATGGGGGAAGGTCTAGGCCTTGATCCAAATGATATAACAGACTTTAAAGATACCCAATGGAAGGCCTCACCCTCCCTGGGGAGCAGAAAAGGGTTGGGATGGGGGAGTAGGGGAAGAGGGAGGGAGAGGGAACTGGGATTTACATGTAAAAGAAGCTTGTCTCTGTATTTAAAATTGGTCTGATTGCAATTATAAAAATAAAAAAAAGTAAAAGGAATATTTCTTCTCAAACTGTCAAAGGTGTTTCAGAGACCACTGCCCCCAAAGAAATAGAGGATAACTGGGCGTTGTTGGCACATACCTTTAATCCCAGCACTTAGGAGGCAGAAGCAGTCAGATCTCTGTGAGTCTGAGACCAGCCTGGTCTATAAGAGCTAGTTCCAGGACAGCCTCCAAAGGCACAGAGAAACCCTGTCTCAAAAAATCAAAAAGAGACAGGTCTTCTCTGTAGCTTTGGTTGCCCACCTAAATTCAATGCTAAGATCTTGTTCCCAAAGACAACATATACACTGATCATAAAACATGGCAAAATCAAATTAATATTTGAGCAGAAAGCTTCCTCCATGCTAGCTAGCTCTCAAAGTGCTAGAAGGTAGTGTCACTCATGTGTACACCCAGTGAATTGCAATCATGACTGGTATAGCAATAGAAATATAGGTACATGGATGAGATAGTGGCACAAATGTTAAAGGATGTAACCAATTGCTTTCTTATTGGATTTAAGGCTTGCTACACAGGAACAGACATATGAAAATCTGTCAAAGGAACCCATAGTTGGGGAGCTCACAGGCCCCAGGGGGAAATCTACTAGTAGTATTTTGCTAAATGGACATAGCATCAAACTGCCTTCTAATTTTGTATTTCTATCCCTAGAGTAGTGCAGCCCTCAAGCATGATCAGAGATGTCTCTTTATGCAGTGGGTGCCGGTTAATGCAGAAACTGGTCAAAGCACAGAGGAAAATGACTGTGGAATGCTCAGCCACAAATAGAAAATCTATATCACACCTCTTCCTCAAAGTTCAGGAACAATCTTGGAAGAGAGAGTGGAATGAGTTGTAAAAGACAGACATTGAGGAGGATCAGAATGAAAAACAGTGTCTTCTGGACATCAAAGGATGCTACAAGATCGGGAGTACAGCATATGTTTCCTCCTAACATAATTAGCTGAAGAGGCTTCCGTTGAATGTATATTTTTGGCATTTTTTATGTAAAAATTTTCATGTCTATAGCTGAATTTATACACTGATTCTCGAATCTATCCCATTGACCAGAGCTTCTAGTTATCTGCCCTTTCTGTGTTGTTTTGGTTACTATGATACTATAGTATAATTTGATATCAGGAATGGTAATACCTCTTGTATTACTCTTTTTGGTAAGTATTGTTTAGCTACCCAGGGTCTTTTGTGTTTCCATATGAGTATGAAGTTGTTTTCTTCTGCTTATATGAAAATATCATTGGAATTAAAATTCCTTTTATTAATTCTTTAAATTTTCATAGAATATATTTTGATCACATATATATTCACCCCAAGATACTCCCCTTAACTCCTCCAATATCCACCCCAAATCCTTACCTTCTTACCCCTCAACTTTATGTCCTTTAAAAACCTATTAGGAAACAACCAGTCATGATTGAAGCCCACAGGGTTCCCATGTGAGTGACACTACCTTCTAGTACTGTGAGAGCTAGCTGGCATGGAGGAGTCATCCTGGTTGAATACCAATTTGTGCCACCCATATACTTCTGGAAATAGGGCCACCCATTGGAGTATGGTCAACCTACCTGGAGCCACAACCTTTTTAAAAAACCCTCATGCATCCTTCCCAAAATACCATCAAGTGTCCATATATCCTCCATTAGGGGTAGGCCCGGCTAGCTTAGTTGGTAGAGCATAGGACTCTTAATCCCAGGGTTATGGCTTCATGCCCCATGTTGGATGCCATTTGTAGATGGAGTTTCTGTCCCACCAGGTCTCACAGACCTTTAGTCCAAAATAAACACACAAAGTCTTATATTAATTATAAACTGTTTGACCAATGGCTCAGGCTTCTTATTGGCTAGCTCTCTCTTAATTATTAACCTATTTCTATTAAAGTATATATCTCCATGTAGTCTTGACTTACTGGAGAATGCCTGGACCTGTTACTCCTTCAGCAACTACATGGCATCTCCCTGGTGTCTCTTCTCTGTCTTCCTCTTCCCAGAATTCTCATCTGGTAGCCTTACCTATATTTCCAGTCTGGCTACTGGCGAATCAGCATTTATTCATCAACCAATAAGAGAAACATAAACTTTCAACATATAGAACTTCTCCCATCAGGATCTCATGAATCTCTTTGACCTCAGGCTAAAATGTTGATCAAAAAATAAACTCCACCTGTAACAAAGGCCTTCATGTTAGACCTGAAACTCAGAAGCAGCTAGAGATAAAAGCAGGAGAATCACTTTAAGACAAAAGCATGGGAAAGAATTTTCTGATAGGAGTCTATTGCTCAAGAAATAATGTCAATGGTTGACAAATTGGCCTTGATGCAGTTAAAAAATCTTTGCACAGCAAAAGAAATAGTATTTGAATGTAGGACACAGCCTGCAGAACGGGAAAAATGCATGCCAACTATACATCTGTGATAGGATTAATACCTAGAATACGCAAAGGTCTCAGAGAAGTGAACAAGAAACTAACAGTAAGTGAGTAATGAAATAAGCAGACAGCTTTCCAAACATAAGTACAAATGCCTGCTAAGCATACAAAAAGTCTTCAGTAATAGGAACCATCAGAGAAAACTGAGTTGAAACAAGATCTCACTACATAATCCAGGCTGACCTAGGATTTATAAGCTCCTGACTACAGACTTTTGACAGTTATCAAAGTTATCAAACTTTTTGGATGGAGAGAGAGAGAGAGCAAGAGTTTACCTGTGCACACACATACATGGATTCACACTGAGGGTGGAAGTTAAAGCATCACTCATGCTAGGTAAGGCTTTTAATGCTGAACTGCATCGCCAGCCATTTTTGTCTTAGGGTTACTATCACTGTGATGAAACACCAAGCAACTTGGGGAAGGAAGAGTTTATTTGACTTACACCTCCAGATCACTTTTCACCATAAAAGGATAGGAACTCAAACAGGGCAGGAACCTAGAGGCAGGAGCTGGTGCAGAGGCCATGGAGCCATGCTGCTTACTGACTTGCTTCGCATGGCTTGATCAGCCTGCTTTCTTATAGCACCCAGGACCTTGAGCCCAGGGGTGGCACCACCCACAATGGGCTAGACACTTACTCATCAATCACTAATTAATAAAGTTCCCTACAGGCTTGCCTGCAGCCTGATCTTATGGAGGCATTTTCTTAATTGAGATTCCCTCTTCTCAGATTACAGCGTGTGTCAAGTTGACCTAAAGCTATGCAGCACAGATGTTTTGAGTCAAAGTCCTGTAAGAGGATTAACAATATCACCTAGATACAAGTGTGTCAGTCAACAGCAGAAACTGTTGGGATTCTATGATCTGAGAATTCCAAGCATTCCTTCAGGATGAGTGAATTTTCATAATTAGCCAGTTCTAGTTATAGCAAAGTCTGGAAGCTAAAACAGTCCTTCTGGCTTATATTTAAAGTTCTTTGTAAAATTATCCCTGTCAGAAGCAATTGAAGATTTCCATCAAGGCAGATTTGCCTTCCAGTTTATGAAGACTGGTTGTAAGTATCTAGATAAATATTTCACTAAGATTCTTAAAATACTTTTTCCATTGAAAAATGTTCTCAATAAGACACATGGTTGCCTTCCCAACTGTAAAACCGTTTCATTCAATAACTTAGTAGGATGTATACATACATCGTGAATTTTTTTCTGAAGAGTTATGGTTTGATTATAAACCTTGGAATTGATCCAGAATTATTGCTTATACATCATTATTCTGAGAAAATGTAACAGCTGGTACGAGAAAAGCATTTGGAAACAGAGCTGACAGGCTTTCTCCTTGGTTTCCAGAAGAAGGGGGGATTGTGTAGTTAAATTAGGCCAATGCTTTGCTACTTGTTGCTTATGCAAAACAAAAGTAAAAATTAGATGTATGTACTGGCATGGGAGATGGTGACGGCTGCCTTATGGAGTACAACCATCTGGGTGGCTGCAGCAATGACATTTATTTTCTCACAGACAGGGGGACTGAAGTCAAAGATCAAGATGTTGGCAATACTGGTTTCTCCTGGAGCTTCCAGCATAGTTTGCAGATGGTGACATCTTCATAGTGTTCACATGTCATCTGTGTGTGCACATATGTGCCAGGTATCTCTGTCAGTTTCCCAATATTTTTTATTACAGATCAGGGCCTGCTCTCATGACTTCATTTTATTTCAATTATTTTGTTAAAGGTCTTATCTCTAGCAATGAAGAATAAATAAGAGAACTTATCCCCAAATACCACCACATCCTGAGGTACCAGAGTTTGGACTTAAAGGTATGAATCCCGAGACACAACTCAACAAGCAGCAGTCCCATGGAAAGAAACACTTCAGGAGGCCCTTTGAGGCCACAAGCTCACTACATCTTTATAAGGCCGTGTGCTGGCAAGCAGCATGTGAATACGGCACTCCCGTGCAATGTTCACTAAAGCAACCCTTTTAGAAAGGAGGTGGAAGTTTGCATACAGTAGAAGGGCATAGCCAAGGTGTTGCTATGTTTCAAAGCCTGGCCGGAAGCTTCTAGTCTCCAGTGCTCTTGATCTTCCTGGAGTAAGAGTAGCTGGGCATAAAGGGGCATGCTACAATGCCCCACTGTGAAAATCCCTTTGTTTTAGCTCAACAAGGTAATTTACATCATTGGCCTCAGTTGGGATCAACTACAGCTGAGTCAAACATCTGGCTGAATGTGTCCAGGAAGAGAAGTGAGCTTGTGTTGAAGGCATTCACCTTAATTCCCTTAGACTGGCAAGTTTAGACTTGCATGAGCCTTCTGATTTCTTGGGTGGCCTGGGCCTCTGCTAAGAAGCACACTCCTGTTAGCTGAGAACCCTTCAACAGTTAGCAAGGCATCTGGCTGTGGTGTCCAGACTGTGTAAACCCCACCAGAAAACAGTGAGACCACCTCCAGTGGCCCTAACTTTTATCTTGATAATACTTTCTGCAGAGAGGCCAGGTTCCAACGGGTTCAATTCTTATGCATGTATATGCCTTGTACTATTTTAATTTTCATGTATATATAAAATGGATTTCACAAGAACACCATTTTATATCCTGGGTGTCCTAGCATTGCTCAGTTCTGTGACTCACAAAGTCATAAACTTGATGATAGTGGAGGATTTGGGGAGAGAAGCAGGAGAGGAGAGTCCTAGGAGTGATGCCACAGGGCCCACGAGTCAAGTCCTACAGAGCCATAAGAAACTACAGAGGCGCGGGAACTGTGGAAGCTGCCGGCTAGAAAAGGAAAAGCCTCTAAATTTCTGCTGAGGCCCCCCTATCTGCCTCCCTCTCTCTCTTCCTTTTCCTCCCTCTTCCTTTTCTCTCTTTCTCTCCTTCTTCCCCCCTGTTCTCTACCCCCGCTTTCTTCCTTCTTTCAGTTAAGGGATGTTGGTTTCCTATTGGCCAGCACTCATCAAGAAGACCGCCCATATCCCACCCCAGGTCATGGTCGTCTAAAGCCTGTGCTCTAGTAGGGAATAGTTCTGTTTCATGCAGAAGGGAAGTCGTGGTCCTATGGCCAGAGACATGTGGCAACCTTTGAGGTACTGTCTTTTGTGAAATGTTTTCTCACTAACTTAGTGAGTGCTCACCAGCATGAAAGAAAATACATGGGTTTTCAGACTTTCCAGTAAGTGTATTATTAGACAGGTGCACAAAGGAGGCTCAGAAGATAAGGAGGTTTCTTTTTATATTTTTTTATTGTTTGTGTTTGGGGGCAGTAACAAGAGTAGGAAGGGCAGAGAAAAAAATATGTGAAGTCATTCTGTCTTTCCACCTCACATTGACGCTGAGCTGGGAGTTCAGCTTGTCAGGCTTACGCTCCAAGTGACTACCTATCAAGCCATCCCACCGGCCTACTGTGAGATTTCTGAGTGCTTGCATATACTCACTGAGTAGAAAAAAAGAAGATGGTATGTTTCAGAAATGAGTAGCCCAGGGGAGTTTACTTGAGGTAGTGACAGCATGGCTGCCAGGGACATGTGTCTGGGTCTCGGAGCTGCTTCTCCTCCCGCCAACTGCTTTGGAACCAGTGAGTTGATTTCCTCAGTGGCTTAGTTTTCTTATGCAAAGCTGACAGGTGAACGGACACATAGGTTGTGGTATATTCACATACTGGAATATTATTCTGAACTAAAGAGAAATAACCTTTCATGAGCTGAGAGCACGTGGGAAGATGTCAGTGCATCTTCTGAAGTGAAAGGAGCTGGTCAAAAAGGCCATAGATGGCAGCATCCAGTTGTATGACATCCAGGGAAAGCAGAATTTGGCAGACAGTGAAAAGGTCAGTGGCTGCAAGGGCTAGGAGCAAGAAAGGAATTGAAAAGAATTAATGGGTGCCTACTTTATTAAGCCTGTCATGAGGACTGTAGTCGTTTGAAAGAAAATGGTCCCCAAAAGGAGTGGCACTATTAAGAGGCGTGGCCTTGTTGGAGGAAGTGTATCACTACTGGGGTTGGGCTTTGAGGTCTCTTTTGCTCAAGTTTCCCTAAGTGTGACTCTCAGTTGACTTCTTGTTGTCTTCCTATCAAGATGTAAGGATTCTCAGCTCCAACATGGCATCTACATGCATGCCACCATGCTCTCTGTCATGAAAATAATGGACTGAACCTCTAAAACTGTAAGCAAGACATCCCAATTAAATATTTTCTTTTATAAGAGTTGCTGTGGCCTTGATGTCTCTTCACAGCAATAAAATCCCTGACTAAGACAAGGACAGTTGAGTTATTATATGTAAACATCTAGACTGGATGGCACAATGTGCTAGAGCTCTCTTAGTTACAGTTACTTCAGCAATCTGAACTGGATGAGTGGCTGTAGTCATTAGGCCTGGTGGAAACTCTGCTGTGGCTAGGGAAAGAAGGTATTCTTTTAAATAAGTGTGGATGAGCTGATAGGAGTTGGACACTGTCTGGAGTTCATAAACATAAATGCTGTGAACTAAATAATTGTATCTCCCATCCTTAGATTGAAACACAACTTCTAGGATGGTACACGGAGACAAGCTTCAGGGAGTGATGTGGTCATGAGTGTGGAGTCCCTAAGGCTGCAACTCATGCTTTTGTTAGAAGAGTGAAGAAATATACAGAGATGATGTCTGTCACCACAGCATGTGAGAACAGGACACAGCAAGAAAACGGCATTTGCAAACCTGGAAGAGAAGCATCATCCAGATTGCAATCTGCCAACACCTAGATTTTGGACTTCTAGCCTCATAAGACATGAGGGACTAGTTTCTGCTGTTGATGCCACCCAAGCTGTAGTTTTGTTTGGGTAGCCTTAACTACAGCACTGAGTGAACATCAGTCAGGTGTGACAGCTGTTTAGATGGGCATATTGCCACTCCCCTGGTTTCCTACTCAGTGAGTATGGATTGGGCCCTAAGAGTTCTCTTTCTAGCAATGGAGCAGGAGATGACAGTGTTGGTGGTCTAACATTGAATCCAGGCTTGTGATAAGCCTGGCACTGAGTTGGAGATGGAGAGAAGGGCAGGTGGCCTGTGTGATTATCCGTGCAGGTTAGAAGGTGAGGTATGTTTAACAACTGCTGTTACTGGCAGGTCCAGATATCTCTGATATCAGTGCTTCTCTAAAGGCAAAATCAAGAATATATGAAAAGCACAATTCATTACAGACTATGAAAGGATAATACTAAACTTTATATAGAAAAACAAAAAACCCAGGATAGCTAAAACAATCCTGATGCTGAGGAGAGAGAAGAAGAGTGTGTGAAGTTGCTACAAGGTCCTGCTGTGACCAGGACCCCCTCCATGTTTCTCACTTTATGGTCACTAGAAGTGCACAGAATATGACAATCTCTTTGTGTTCTTTGTTGACTTTCCTACTGTCCCAACTTTGGAGAAGGAACCACAATGAGTGGGACTGTCATCCTTCAAACCCAACTGTGGTAACAGGGGTCCGTCTTAATTACTTTTCTATAGCTGTGATAAGACACTATTACCAAGATAACTTATAGAAGAAACCTTTTATTTGGGGGGTTATGGTTTCTGAGAGTGACAGAAACCTCTGTGAGCTTATGCCTTAATCCCAAAGTAGTAGGAAGAGAGCAAGAGACACACTGGGAATGGCCCCAATCTTTTGAAACTTCAAAGCTGGCCCCCAGTGACATATGGAGGTCCAGCAAGATTCCACCTCCTAATCCATCCCAAATAGTTCCATCAGCTTGGGGCCAAGTATTCAAACATATGAGTCTTTGAGGCCATTCTTACTCAAACCACCAGAGGGTCTTACTGGATATGGCAGGGTGATGCCTTAGCTTACAGTTTCCATTTGAAAGCCTTGTCTCCCCACTCCTGCTACCACCAAATGCCTGGGGTGAGTGTTGTGGGGAGGCTTGTAGTCTGTCCCTCAGGAGGTGTTTAATCAGTGATCCTCAGCTGACAATCACACCTTGTGAGGGAGATGATGAAAATGCAATCTACATGTCACAGGTCTAAGCTCCAGGTCAAGCCTCGGCCTTGGTAACCCTTTAACTACTACTAACAGCAAACTATTCAAGGCAGGCTCCCTTCCTCTAGCAGTGTTCCCCACTCTGCTGCACACACAGGGCTGCTCTCCCTTCTGTGAGCTCCTGAGAATTACCCATGCTTCCATAGAGACATGGAGGCCCATTTCAACGTATCACAGCAGCTATGCCTGTTTGCTGTTCAATTTAAGCCTTGTAGATCCAGGCAGCAATTAGCTGACTGACTGCTTGTCTCCAGGGCAGTTATCTGGCTACCTGGTGCAAGTTTGTTCAGTAGAAGGTTTTGCCTCCTGTCAAAGATGTGAAAAGCTCAGCCCTATGCCACTATGCAGTCATCCTTCAGGGAAATGCTCCTCACCACCCACAACTGTAGAATGCATCTCAGATGAAAGCTTTTGATTAAACAGGCCTTTCTGGCAAACGCGCCTCATGTCACTGGCTGCAAAGTGTTGCCAGGATGTGAAAGTGAGCCAGGTCCCATCGGCTTTTGGATTCAATAAATATCAATACTCATATGTTTAAAATGGAAGCAAAATCCCTCAAAAGATCTTAAACTGTGTAGATGTGAAGATGAAAGACAGCAGTGATCTGAGAGTTGGCGAGGCACGGAGTTTCTGAGCTCTTTGATAGAGACTGAATGGGTTGAGTTGTCCAATGAAGAACAACATGCAGTTTTATAGTCAAGATCCCTTCTATAGATGAGGAAACTCAGACCAGCACATGATGTTTATGGCATCAGTGAGTGGTAGCTGGCCAGTAGTGGTTCAATTGGGTCAGAACATGTATTTACGTTCCTCCGTACTGGACTGAAGGCCATGACACCCCAGGGACTCAGTTCTCAAGAATACAGCTGTCAGACCAATAGTGTTTTCACACACCAGATGTTGTCACTGGAACAGTTAGATGGAGGTGATGTTCCATGCTCAATACAGGCTAGAAAAATGGGGCCAAAGGGCCACTGCAAGATCTTGGGTCAGTGAAGCCATGCAGCGAAACAGCATTCATCAAGTACACAGCAAGCAATGTACTGATTGGACCTGTGGAAAGGGCAGGGATCTGTGAGCAAGACAATGGCCTACGGAGAGGGCAGGGACCTGTGGGCAGGACATGGACCTGTCAAGAAGGATGCCATTTTATAAGACTCATTTGTTTGATCAACTTTTTCCTAAACAAATTACAGATTTGTTCAGCTTTGTTACACTTGGTTTCCACGGTTTTTGCTTCACTTTTCTTTATGGATATTTGCAGGCATAGAGTGAAGTCAAAATGTGTTTCTACGAAAAGGAAGATAGAGTTCCTAAGTCCATCTGACAGAAGAAAACCACAAACTATGACTGAATGGCAGCTCCACTTTAGGCTATGATGCAGCTATGAGAAGATTCAAGTCTTGTCTCTGCAGAGGTACAGCTCTGCTCCAAGGACTCTTGGGCTGCTCTACAAATCAGCAGATGTGACATGCAGTAGCCCCTCCTTTGTGGCTTCAGTTACCTGTGGACAACTGCAGCTCAAAGCACCTACCTGCATTTGACTTGGCTCTTTCAAGACAGAAAACCCCCATGCAGGGAATGTCTCTACTTCTGTTTAAATTAGAACACAAGGATTTCTTTTTTCTTTTTTTCTTTTTTTTTCTTTTTTCTTTTTTTCTTTTTTTTTCTTTTTTCTTTTTTTTTTTTTTTTTTGCTTTAAGAAGTAATTTATTAGGTTTGAGGCAAGGTCTCAAGAGTATTCTATGTATTTTTTCAACTAATCTGAAAAGCCTCATTACTAAAAAAAAAAAAAAAAAAAAAAAAAAAAAAAAAATCTTAGAAAAAACTTGAAGAGCGCATGCGTGCGCTGGCTGGCTCCTTTTTCCTCTCTGGAGTCACCCGCGGAAGTTTGGAAGTTCGGCCAAGGCTCTCGCTCTTGTCTGTTCTAACCGCCATGGTCCGATCTGAAAATACGGGCTGAACATGTGCCATCAGTGCTTCCATCAGTACTCGAAGGACATTGGCTTCATTAAGTCGGACCAAGCAACCTTGAATGAATTATTCAAGACTGTCTACCCAGTGAAATAGATCATGCTAGTCTTTGAACACAAGGATTTCATTCCGGCATTTTTCAGATGCGTCTATACTATGTTATAATTCATGCCCCTTTCCCACTACCCTCAGGCAAAGTGTTCTGCTCTGGCTGACTCTCCTTAGCAGCATCCTCCATTCTGCTCATCACAGAATTTTAAATGTATTTTAACTACTATAGTATAATTATTCTCTTTTACTACTTATAATAATGGTGCTAAATCGTGGTGGCATTTGTAATCCAGTACTTGGGAGGTGAAGTCAGACAGATTGGTAGTAGAAGGCCATCCTTGGCTGCATGATTAAAAAAAAATAAAAAAATAAAAAGAACAGATACACAGAGAAAAAAGAAAGGAAAAAAATCAAAGTATATTGTGCATGTGATCCAGTGCTGTTTGTGGTCTCAGTTGTCCACAGGAGCCTTAGAACACCTCCTACAGAGAAGTGAGGACAATTGTAATCAAGTCCCTGTGTTCATCTATTCACAAATGTCTAAAGTATTCCAAAGATGAAAGGGAGCATGTCATCACTGGTCAACACCCACCAATACTGTTCTAAGTTGTGTCAGTAAGGATGAATGTCTGTGATGTTTTTTCAATAAAAACAAAATAATACAAGGACTGTGAATGTATTCAATGGTAGGATGTTTGCCAAGCATGGCAAGGCCCTAGGTTTGAGACCCAACAACCAATTATTTTTGCATTGCAAATAAAAGGAAACCCTACCAAGACTTCTTGTCCTATGGAGCTAGGCAAACAGCAAAACAATAAAGTGTTCTGGGGATATGCTTTGAGACAGTGTCGTAGGTGTGGGGAAGCACACACCTGTCTAAGAAGCAATCCTTTCTGGCATTGGTGCCCACACAGCAGACCCAGGTTGCCTGACTCCAGAAAGGGCACCTCAAGTGCATGGAAGTTAAAACCATCCACAGGCAACCTAAGGAGTGCAGTCTGCATAGCCATGTCACTTCTCATCTTCCTTCTCACTCAGTTGACCTTACTGGCTCAAATTTCAGACCCTTCTACAGGATGTAGACTTTTCCAACTCAAATGAGAGCGAAACCCTGCACTTATTCTACATTATGTCTCTCCTTTCCCTTCTTTCTTCCCAAGAAATTTAAGGTTTGTTATTCTAAATTTATTTTATTTTTGTTTGGAAAATTATTTTGATTCCAAGATAATAACCTACAGATTAAGTAGATGGCTTTTAATATGTTAAGGATTTCTCAAAGGGTAATATCTGTTTTTACTTTTCATTAGCTATATTCATTGTAGATACAGCATGAGGATATTTTCACATAAATATATATGGTATGTTGAACAAAATCCCTAACATAGTTCTTTCCCTTTCTCATCTGTCCCCCTCCTGTTCATTTCCTTTGTTCCACTAGACAGTTTGGCTTCTATTTTCATGAAGGACTGTAATTTTATCATAAATGCATAATACTTAAACTATGATGGATCACTCATTGCTTACTTGGAGCTGCTGGAGTACTGTTTCTATAGATCCAAACTCATGCTGAATGTGCCCCTTTCTAAATGAGGAAATGAACTTCATCAAATCTAAAATGTAGAGTTTGGCATTTTACTAAATTTCATGGGGAGAAAATGTAATGAGTCAATAAACCCAATTTGGAGGCTGGTTATTGTCACATAAATTAATTTGCCTGCTAAATGATCAGATTCACATCCACCTTTTTCTTACCATCTGCCTCACAACAAAGTTGGCATTGTACTCCTTTGAGGGTGGACCATAAAAATGTCATTATTTAAAGGCTTATTATCCTTAATTCTTGCTAAGTTTTAGTTTGCCACGCTTGCAGGTGAGCCAGGTAAGGGCCATACCTGGAAATTTTCAAAATAGACTACTTCTCTACCAGTTGCAGACCTGGAGGCAGATCCTTTCCCTGGGCTCTGGCCCAAAGGAGGGTGATGCAGTGTGACCTTGGACTCCAGCTAACAGCCCACTCTTGTTCCATAGAGCCACAGCAGTCACGTTTCCCTTGCTTGTTTTTGATTGTTTCTCCCAACACTTGTGATCTGTGAAATCTCGCCTGACTGTCACACTGAGTGATCCCATCCTATTTCTCTGCACAATCAGGCTCCTGGCAACTCTGCCTCATAGAATGCTGGTTAGGGAGCCATGAGCAGCAGCCAGAGCCTGCTCCATCCAAGTCCTAAATGTGACCCTAATGTAATACAAAGGCCAAGATCACCCTGATCATGATCTTCACTCAGTCCTTGTTAGATGAGGGGAGAAGATGAAATATTTTCACTAGCAGAAACATGACAACCACTAAAGACCTATTTAATATTTAATGGTTTTAAAATTAGCAACTACATCCTAAATTGTAAATAATGCCCCTATCCAGAAAAACAGCAACAAATATACAGGTGATAGTTGGCACAGGCATTGTTTTTGGTTTGGAGGTAGAGTTTTGCTGTGTATCCCTGACTTGTGATCCTCCTTCCCCAGTTTCCCAAGTCTAGGGTGTTGGGGTTGTAGTTGTATGTCACATGTCCAGGATTTGCAATTTGCAATTTTGCTTTTTGTTCACTTACATATGACTCTAGTGGTCAGGATGCCATTTGTACCAATATGCTAACTATGCATCTGCTGCCATTTTAGCCTTACTGCAATAACAGGAGGTGCTTTAATTAGATAATTCAAGTTTTTCAAAATGTGCAAAAGACTTGTCCAAACAGTAATAATTATATAATTCAAGGAAAGGACTTGGGCATTATAGTTTGACCTCATTTTCACAGATGCATTTTATTATACTTAAGGATTTGCTATGTATACAATACACAAAACAAACACAGTCTAAAGAGAGAAAGCCTGCACCTGTAGAACTACTTGTCTAGACTCCAACAAGAAATTCAATAGCTGTCATGTACACTTTACAAAAATATCATATTAGGTTGTCTGTACAGGGCTCATGAAAGGCCTGCAGTGGTGAAGATCTGGCCCCCAGGCCCGAGGAGCCTCATAAGCAGCAGGCATGTGTCACTGAAGCCTAGAGTCAAGCTGCCAGGTAACTACAGCCAGCAGCACTGCCTAGACATGGCATGTGATAAGAGAGCATTGAGAAATAAGCAGAATTAAATTCTCATGGGTTTCATAGGTTAACAGAAAATGTAAGAGTTTGTCTAGTTGGGAGTCATTTCAATTATTTATTTTTACAGTGGTAGGGACTGAACCCAAGGCTTTGTGTATTCTAGTCCACATCACCAACATACGTTGGAGAATATTAGACAGGAGAAGAACATGTCAGGTGCATATTTTAGTGCATTTATTCTACCAATAATGTAGCCAATTAATTGTGTCAGTAGCTTATATTTGATGTATGGGTCCAGAGAGTAGACTGCAATATATTGTGGGTAAATCTGGGCAGAAAA